GCCACAAATGCGATTTCCAGTCCTATTACTTACAAAGCATACTTGGGATTTTCGGTTGAAGAAACCTTCCTAAATTCCATTTTGAAGAGATTTCGGGGATGTACGATGCACTACTTATTAAGAATCTTCAGTAAATAGTTGCAAGCGACCAACACCAAACTAATTAAAACCGAAGTTAAAGGTGACTGATTCCCCTGGATTTGAATTGCAAGTAGTATTAACATCGTGTGATGAAGGATGTATACTGATCGTGAAAATTTCAAATCAACCAAAGAAAACCGGTGTTCACTTTGAAAAAGAGGTATACGCTTCTTTGGTTGACGAAACTAACATCAAAACATGCAAGTTTCTTAGCGTCTAACCTGAAGTATACTCCAGATATATGTGCTTTCAGCTTTCATTCCTTAACTTCTATCGATATTTTCTTGAGGCAACCATTTTCAGTGGGCTTACTTTCGGATAAACCCTCATGCATACTAGCTATAGTCTCGGCTGCTCAGCCAGCGCTATCCAAAAACCGTTCATTCAAACGCCATTATAAGCCTTTGCCAATACGTCAACTACCATCGGTTGAGGTGAACCGGATATGAATGGTTACATGAACAGAGGTAGTTAACCCTTGTCAAACCACTATTATCTAACAAAATGAATCACGATAGATTACGCTGACAGGTACACCATAAATCAAACTAAAAAGGACAAATCAGCGGTGAGCTGTTGGTCGAAGATGAAAACAGCAGGGTTTCGCTGTAGCTGATATCTCGCATTTACCTGTATTGGCGAAACGCAAACAGGATATAAATGTAGCGAACAAATGTACCACTGTGAGGATGAGTCTGGTCAGGATTTTCTAGGACGTGGAAGTATTTAACGCAATACTTATAACATCACATTTAGGACTTCATGGAACTTTCATGACGACTGAACCAACGTGGTCCCTTCGTTTGCGTTTTCCCCCTGCCTTGTTAATTCATGGAGAATATCGAAAAAAGTCGTTCAACTGTAGCACCCTTTTAGTGCCTAACTACCATGCCACTAGAAGGGAGCACCAGGGCTGAGATACTGTCAGGTGACCCAAGCCTAGAAAGTAGAAGTCGAGAGACAGAGATCGCGTTTGAATCACGGACCTTCCGGGCAGTAAATTTGCGCTCCAATCACTGAGCCACCATGCATACGTGACACACGTGGGCGTACGCGACAAATTGGTTCAGTGCCATGTCAACTGTGGTGTTTTGTATTCAATATGACATTATTTATTTTGTCAAATGCATAGTCGTTTTTCGTTTCAATAGGAAAAACCAAACAAATGCGCTACTGCACAATTTATACGCAATACAAATATGGTCACATGCCTCGACCTTCTCCACTAATTTCTCTCGCGCTCACAATGGTCACTCGTGAGTTCCACATGCTCACTCATGTATCAAAGCGCTTCAGAAGTTCCTCGGATTTTGCTATGTGAGAACTGTTCAGAACAAGATCCGTGAACAACCATGGTTGGATTATTACTTCTTCTCTGACATGGACGAACAACGAACTATTTTAAAGAGAACAATTCCTTGTGAACCTGTTCCATATGACCCTACTTATTTTTGTATCCTTAATCTAGCGTTATTGTTTTTATTCCTTTGCCAAAAACTTCCGGTAAAGTAGGTTTTTGGGTAGCCAGACAACTATAAATCCAGTCCAAGCAAGATGTAACGTTTGCAACATTTGGTGGTTGAGAAGTGATACGTTATGTTGGACTAGTGAAAAAGGGGACGTATCATGGTTCTCACATAGTCTCACAGAAGTGGAGATGGAATAATTTGGCTTGGGAGCACACGGCCAGTTTTGTCTCAAAAACGTGGTTTGATCACTGGTTACACTGTTGTAGGGAAGCCAGATGCAGGGAATAGGTTGAATGAGGACATGGTGCTAATATATAGGGCGAACAGAACAACGCGTACGGATTTGAACTTGTAGAATAGGGAGGCCGAAATCTTAGCAGGAAACCAGGCTAACCAAATTTAAGCGAAAATTTGTCGTGTACGAAAAACTCGTCCCAGAGACGGGGCCAGACGGTGCTCGTAGTTTCGACTACGTGTTTGAGTGGGCGACGGGGTGCGGCCAAGATTCTGAAGAAAGTAGTTGCGGGAGCTTCATCACACTTGATATGACAGTGCCATGCCATCATTGACCTGATATGCATCGGTTTATGGACAGCCCCGTAGCGGTCCTCAAGGGTGCCGCCGAGAGAAAGGATACACACCTCCGTGGCAGCTGGATCTGGGTGAGTTGGAGGTTGACCTAGCGTTCAGCTGTAGCATCCTTCCGGTGCCTCACTACCATGCCACCCGAAGGAAGCACGAGGGCTGAGATACTGCCAGGTTGCCCAAGCCTAGACAGGGGAAGTCGAGTGGCGGAGGTCGGATTCGAACCACGGACCCTCCGGTCAGTAAATTCGCGCTCTAACCACCTGGGCCATTTCGCCCCAATTGACCCAAAGAGCCAGACGGATGTAGGGTCACGGATAATTTCCCTTTCGTTGGAGGACCGTGTTAGTGAGGACCGGGCACCAACCAGTTTGAAGGAATGACAGTTCTACGGAGCGTTTGGACAACTGCATTCGAAGTTTGAAGCTTGGGAAGAGAGGCAACGAGGAAGATCGCGGCAGATCGCCAATACCTCTTCCTCGTGCTCCGTTGGTCGACATATTCCACATGTTGTCCTGCATGAGTCCCATAGCGTGCTTGGGAACCAAAGGGGGTAAGATGGGTCGTGTCCAAAGCATCTGAAGAACAACGAATGCTTTCATGCGGGCTTTGGGTGATGGAGTGAGCAGGACATGCCTGATGTGAGCCAGAAGCATAATACCATTTTGGTGTCTCCTCTTATTCGCTCCTTCAGCATATTACGCTACACGCAAAATAAATGTTTGTTTAATCCCCTCGAATGACGTTTGGACGAAACTTCCATCGGTGTGTCTTCCACATTCGGCATACTGACTGGGACGAACCGCTTGCAAAACAAAGCACTACCACACAATCGCAAAGTTTAATTTACTACATTCAAATATCTAGAAATGTTTGTAAAGAAACTGACAAAGGTATGATCCGGCACCGTCAGAGAGACGACCTTCTTGTGGGCCTACCTCTCTATGTTCACACCACTCAAAAAACTTAGAGACGAATTCACTGTCGCTACTGAAATAAGATGACCAGCATTCCATAAAATAGCAAGCGTACCACTTGAAACAGCAGTCTGATTCTGCTATATCTATTTCATGCCAATTTTTCAATACACGTGGTGCGCTACAAATGTGCGGCACCCTGGCAGAAATAGGAAGAAAAATACCACATAAGGTGGAGGGTGTTTCAGCATGTGTCTGGAGGCCGTGAAGGTATCCACGCCTGTGTGAAAATTATTCTCAGCAATAGGATTATTGGCATATCATATCAACCATCACGTTTCGACATCAGACGGGGCACTATATTGCTGAACGCCGCAGAGTAGATGAGCAAAAACCTTCTGATACCGAACCACTCCCCTCTGCACTTCCGTGCAGAACTGAACAAAACCCAGGTAAACGCGCTCCCTGAAAGTTCGGAAGAAAGAAGGGCCACATTTAACTTCGTGCAGTTGCCTCAACTAGATCAATGAAACCTAGACAATCATCAAAATGTGGAGGCTGGTCTGCTCAAATGCTGCCAGTGTTCGCACGCTGAGGCTAGCACAACAGCACGAGCTACGTCTTCGAACGTTTCATTCTAATTCATTGATGTCTAGAGTCCGTCAGAAATGAGTACTTCAGTTAAACTGTCTGCTCGTAGAGCTCTTTTTGCTTCCGGCCACGCATCGGCGGATTAACTTTGACTCTGTTGCTTCACCACATCGGTTGATCTGGTTCCTCATTTTCGGCAATTTGAAGTATTCTTATCAGGCACCATGCGGAATCCCCCAACTTTGGCCTCTTTCGCTTTGGTTTTACTAACATCCCCAAATTTGGCGGTCTGTTTTACTTCAGCTAGATATGTTCTCAAACTTTCGGAAACTTTGGCCTCGCTTTGGTTTTACTAACATCCCCAAATTTGGCGGTCTGTTTTACTTCAGCTAGATATGTTCTCAAACTTTCGGAAAGAAAGATATGAGTGTGCTTTCGTGCCCTTGATATCCATCGCATTTAGATCGAGCCGGTTTAGGCGTGTCTGCGTCTAAGTCGAGTAGTGCCCAGTATTTTTAGACTGGCTCATTTCATCGCAATCCTACCAGCCACGCGTTTATTCTGACTTTACCGTTATGGTTATACCTGACGGCATACCACACACAAGCCAA